AGTTCTGCTTTACAGTCTTGTAGCCCATGGCCCATGCAAGCTCTGTGAAGGGTGTTAAGGGTCTGCTTTTGCAAGCAGAGAATGGATATGCTGCAGAAAAAGTGCCTGCAGAGGGAATAATTCCAGCCCCGATGACTTCCACGAGCAAAACCGTCAGCTGCCTGTTTCCGGCACACTCACCGTTCCGTGGTCACTTGGAAGTACAGGAGCAGCTGGCTTATAGTCCATTTTTTGCCAGTTTGTCTGTCTGGTAATCCCAGCGAGGCAAGGCAACAGCAGTTATTAAAATGAACACATAATAACGCATCCTATCCGTGGTAATCTCATCAGGGAAGCTCTTTCTCGGATTCAGTGTGCCTAGGATTGCAGGCCCGGTGAATTATAATGCATTTGCATTTGCTTAAGCCTGGCCATACGTGCCTGTGCGCAGGTACCCTGATGTGGTTTCCAGAAAATCCTCTGGCTGTGGGTTGGGCAGATTTGGAAGATTCTTGCGTTATCCGCAGAGCGAGTGAGAACTCCGCTGCCATGTGCCCTTTTTGCTCGTTGGAGTTGCACAGGGCGCGACTCTGTCTTTTCAGGTTTGTACCCGGGAGGAGGACAATATCAGAGGTGCGCGACGAGCAATGTTCCCTTTAAGCTGTGGAGTCTTGTGAGCAAAAATTCTACTTTGTGAGCTACTGGCATTAAAGTTGTGAGCAAGCAACTTGGCTATTGCATAAATTAGTTTGCTCTGGAGCCATCCCTTCCTGAGCAAAGACAAAAATGAGTGAGCCGGAGGCTAAAAAACTGTGAGCTAGCTCACACTAACTCAGCTTAGAGGGAACACTGGCGACGAGCCCTTTGGATCGTCCGCGGGAAGAACAGCACTGCCTTATGGCGTTCTTAACTGACGCCCATCTGCCGGTTGTCACTTAAACTAGGCGAAGAAACGAAAAGTTTGATTTAAAAAGTACTGGGGTGAGCCGAAAGGGGCTTTCTGCGCAGTTGTACTCGGTAGGGGAGCTGCGGTGGCTCAAGTGGTTAAGACGCTGAACTGCAGGCTGTGGAAGGCCGGTAGTTCAGGAGTTCAAGACCCGAGTGCTGCATGACGGAGTGAGCTCCCGTCTCTGGTTCCAGCTCCTGCCAGCCTAGCAGTTCGAAAGCAAGACATTGCAAGTAGATAAATAGGTACCGCTTCGGTGGGAAGGTAACAGCGTTCCGTGCGCCTTGGTGTTTAGTCATGCCAGCCACATGACCACGGAAACGTCTTCAGACAGCGCTGGCTCTTCGGCTTTGAAACGGAGATGAGCACCGCAACCCTAGAGTCGGATTCGACTGTCTTTCGAGCAAGGGAACCTTTACCTTTTAC